AACGACGACATAGAAGACAGATTCACCGATACGTTCACAAACAGTAATGCTGTACGATTGATGATGGTTCCGGTACAACTTCAAACGGATCACAATAAAAAGAAGACAACAGTAATAGCACTGTTAGATTCTGCGTCAGATCAATCCTTCATAACAACATCACTCGCTCATACACTAAATCTCAATATACAAAGCGAAGCTACAATCATAGTAAATACCTTTGGAGGCAAAGCTGAGAAGAAGAAAACTAAGAGAGTAATCACCTCACTATTCAACGCGGAAGGAGATTTCATAAACGTCGAGCTTCTGACAAATGATCAAATCACACCCCCTCTCCAGATGGGATCGGTGCTTCGAGAAGACGAGCTCTTCATCCGCGAACATCTCTCCGAGGACGAAGTGCTCAGACTCTTAAAAAAGAATAATGATACAGTAATCCCCGGAATACTTATAGGAATGGATTACTTCAATTCAGTCATGCAGCTCGACGAGCCTGTCATCCGTCTTCCGTCAGGATTCCTCCTCACGCACACTTTCTTCGGTGCCGTGATATCAGGTGCCCCTCAATTTGATAATGGACAACATGAGAGGAGCCATTTCAGCAAACGGGTCACCAATTCATGCACTATCCTTCAATCCAATCAAATTGACATATCCGACTTGTGTAAGCTCCATACAACAGGAATTGAAGATATGACTTCCGATGAAGAAATAAACAATCAAATCATAGCAGATTTCTATTCAAAGGTTCAAATCGAAGACAATAGCATTTTCGTGTGTTTCCCTTGGAAGCCAAACAAAATGCGCTTGCCAACAAATACACACTTGCCTTAAGCCGACTTCATCAACTATTCAAAATGAAGGAGCCTCAGTGTTGGAAGGAGTACTGCACGAGAATTGAGGATCAGCTCAAGAAAAAATTTATTGAAGAAGCCCCCCGGTTCCCCACCGATAGCAACACGCCGTGCTACTACATCCCTCATCAAGCAGTCATCAAATCGGAAAAAGATA